ATTTTTCAGTCAATGAATAGAACACCAAATATTCTGAATTTTGGGTTTCATTTCAGAAAATTTGTACCGAGTGTAAGTACACTGTACTGTATACATACTCCCATACTTTACACTCAGTACACTCTACTAACTTGTACGCCACCAAGGATGATACGCACTACTACTACAGGATGGCCTATCATAAGGCCTGTGTGGAACAAATCCCCCCTCACCTTCCCAATCTAAATCATCAGTTGTGACGTAGGCAGCATGTTATTTCTCGCCTTGACGTACGGTGTTTAAACAGCTGATAGGCCGATAAACAATCCTGTAGGTGTGTATCATCCTTGATACGCTATTTCCCAGCCCAGTTCAGCCTCTGCTCGACAATCGACAATGAATCATTGTCGATTGTCGAGCAGAGGCTGAACTGAGCTGGGACCGGCTGGGCAATAGCCAATGAAAATACAAAATATTGGCAATCGGAACTGACAACGTTGTAAGAATAAACATACATATTGGCAACCAGCAACATTGAAAAGCAAAACAAGGGAATGCACATTATGTGTGAGATATGCCCACTTTTTATACTGTCAAGTGCACATTTACAAATTCTCTCGAAACATCCCTGTAAAGTACTACTTACCGCACGCAAATGAGTGAGGAAAAGTACAGTTTACCGCACGGCACGCGAGAAGTTGAAATGGTTAATGAATTTATTTGCTGAAAAATTGATATAATAAACAATAATAATTTTGGTTCATCTCTAATCCCAGCTAAGGTGACGTCCCCTAGTGACCTATACTTATATTTTTCCAAACTTATGGAATTATATTAAAATATTCCAGAGCGCGCACAAAGTTCCTGAAAACCAAGTTGATCAAGAGTAGCCCAATGAACAACAAGCATAACATTATGTCAGTGTCAGCACTAACGAGAACGGTTTCAATATATCCACACATAAATGCATGTCAGCATTCTAAAGTCCATATCCTTTCCTGACGAGCAACTTATTTGTGGGTGGTTTATTTCCATTCCACTATGCACAGATGTAAGAGTTGAATGAATATTCTCACCTCTCATCATCTTCTTCATTACCATAAAAGGCACTAAAGGAGGGGTTGATACTACATGGTCAGTCAAAGTGTTAGCAATGAAAACCTGCAAGTCCAGTTTGTTTTTTGATAATCTCCAAAAACTGCTGAATTGGACAGGTAATGGAACATCTTCAGATATGTGGGCAATATCTTTAACAATTCCGGTAGGTACCTTTGTCTCTACTCTGCACTCTCTTAATGGGCTGTGGTAGGTAAACGGTCCCTAAAGGAAGGGGGAAAATGGGCTTTGGAAGGTAATGGTCTGGGGGAAAAAAAGAATGCCTAGTGAACATCTACCAAATAAATGCAAGAGTATGGTATATGGTACAAGACCAAGACTGGACCCTGCAAGACCAAAACCCAGACCAAGACTGCATATGCAAGACCATAATCAAGCTAACCCGGTCTGGGCCTTGGTCTTGTATTTGCAGTATTTGTGTTGCTCAACTTTTTCATTGACAAATTAAATAGTCATCCAAATATGTGAAGCAAAACGGAAGACGAGTTAATTCATTCAAATGGCATAGTTATATACTCGAACAAACCAAATGGAGTACATATTTGTACTCCATGGCTTTGGAATATCTGATGCGTTAATTGGAATTTTGATGATATGCTCGTACCAAATTTATTTTTGAAAAAATTTGAAACTAAAATCGTGAATATAAGGAATGCCATATCTTTCAGGCTTTAGTAATGTTATTCAGTGCCTTATAATCACTCTTCAACTTCCGTTTGATTTAGGAATCATATTTAGGAAATATAAAGACAATTTGTTCGAGGATTTTAAGAGTTTCTGGAAATTATTATTAAGAGAAAAGATGCACTCAAATGCTAGATGTGGGATATCTATAATTTTAATAATGTTATGCAATAATTGTTAAGTTGTTCCAGACACAAATGGACATCTTCTTTGTGTTGCTCGACTGATTCACTGGCAATCAAACTGTCATCCAAATATTTTGAGCATACCGGAAGGCTACAAGTAAATTCATTCCGTGAACCATTGAAATGTTTGAGGTGCATTTTTCAGTCCAAATGGCATAAAGTTTGTTTCACCAGGGTTTGTACTTGCCACCAGCATTTGTCTTCCTTGTTTAACAAATAAAAATTGACTGAAACAAATCAATGACGTCAAAAACGTTCGTCGGTTCTTAAACCTTAATTTGTCAAAAAAAAATGAATGTGTCATATGAATTAATCTACGACAACCCTTTTTTGTCTATAGTTTCAAGGTCAAGTATGAACCCTGGTGAAACAAACTTTAGTTATATATATTCGAACAGTCTAAATGGAGTACAAATACCTGTCTTTTAAATATCTTCTTGGTTAGTTGGAATCTGATGATAAGCTCGTACTAAATCTATTTTTGAAAAAAAAAATCTTGCCCTGAAGCTGCGGAAACTGTTATCATGAATATGAGGAATGTCATATCTGTCAGGCTAGTAATATTAGTCAGTGCCCTATAATTTCCGCGATTTAGGAACCATATGTAATGGAGAAGATAATTTGTATGAGGAGATCAAAAATGTATACACCAGGCTTTAGGACAAAAACACCCCTCAACGAAACCAAATAAATTTGACCCTTGGTGAAGCAACACTCTAGAATAAGTAGTAAATGATGGAAAGAAAGCTACCTATACAGAATGGCTAGAAACGAGAAAGAAACATCGACGAACGGAAGTCCATGCACTCAAGCACAGATCTGCGATCAAAAAACGACTTCTGAGAATCATATGTGACCAAGTCAATAGAAGCTTGGGAAATTCTCAAGTAAAAAAAGCGTAGAAATTTCTGGAGAGCATGAGGAGAAAGAACACTGATTCAGCGGGTATAAACCTCATAGACCTTGAAAAATTGACAAACTATTACAAAGATCTACTAACAGAAGATAGACCAATAAAGATCCTTCCGACGATCTTCACTAAATGTCTTCGAGAACAATCGTCACTAGACTGGAGGGAAGGGTTAATTTCATCGATCTTCAAAAAAGAAACCATATTGGACTGTAAAAACTATAGAGGGATCATGGTTACAAGCCCAGTAGCCAGATTATATGGACGTATTCTGAAAAACAGAATAGAAATCGAGTTCCAAGAATCAGAGGAACAAGATGGTTTCAGGGCAGGACGTTCTTGTATAGGTGAAGTGTTTACTCTTGAAAATCTTACTGAAAAAAGAGTAGAAAGAGGTAGGCAAGTTCACCTGATCTTTGTGGACTTACATGGTGCCACTAAGTAAGTTGTCGCCAGCAATGCTAAATGGTATAAGCAACTCATATGTATGTAAATGCTGTCAAAACTCTGTATACCAATACAAACAGCTCAGTCAAACAAGATTGACAACATTCCAAAAAGTTCCCAACAACAAAAGCTCTAAGGCAAGGCTCTTATTACTCCGATAGGAGAGGACATACTCATACTTTTCACTTTCCTTTTTGCTGATGAGCAGGTAGTTATAGCTGGAGATAAAGATGACTCGACTTACATGCTGTGAAAACTTCAGCAAGAATATGAAAACTAGGGACTTATAATAATTAATAAATATGAAGGAAACGGAGTATATGCATGGTAGTTGGCGTCGAATCGAATTGGCAGATGACTTAGATCTAGGACATTGTGTAGTGGAGAACTGCTCTTTGTTCAAATATCTTGGTGTTACCCTTTCTTCCAATGGTAAAAGCGCCTTAGACATCTCGAATAAAGTTGGTTAAGGGCAAATAATTATTTCCCAACTTAATAGCTTATTATGGAGCAACAAAAAGAAACAAGAAAATAATCCAAAGTGTCTCAATATTCAATGTTGACATTTAATGTTGAGTTCTGAACTGTTTTGTCAGAGAAGATATTGAATTTTCAGTGGGAGACATTTGAGAAAATATAGATTTTTTTCTGGTGAAACCATCAATTTCAAATTTACACTGAAAAATGAAACATAAAACATTGAGTTCTTTAATTTGCCTTGTAATAATCCTCTGTGAACTTCTCTGTTCATGTTTTTTAAACAAAATGGAGAATGAAGTTGGTTGAAATTTACTGGAAACCTCTTATTCTTGTTCTTTTCTATGTATGACAAAAGATCCTCTAGTTCTCGAAAATCTTTCTGGCACAACTTGCAATTCTGTTTTCCTTTTCTTCCCCTTTTATTTTGTATCTTTTTTCTCCATCCTTCGCTTGCTTTTTTTCCATAGTTTTTGTCCTCTCTTCAACAATGCACAAAAAGTTCCTTGCCAATGATTCAAACACGTCACAATTTCCAATTTTCATTACACCACCTAAAATACCCACTTTTATTTTTCGCAAATAATAATTCTTTTTACTCGATGACCCAATCATTGCCTCATAGCTTTTATCTTATATATATTATAGATATAACCAAAAGTCGTTTCCGATAGATTGGCAAATTAAAAAGTTAAACCCTCGTAAAATCCGACAAGAGATATATGGAGGGATTGGGATTTTTATTGCGAATCTATATCTCTGTATCGAGCAGCGATTTTTAAACGAAAACGACGTTACGGTTTTAAGGATTGAAAAATACCTAGGTACCTCTGACATTTATAGAAGTTCTTATTATTGAAATATCTATTATTATTACAACAACAAAAGAGAAAAATGAAATCCATCATTAATATTATTCATCGTTATCGCATAGCTCCACTCAAATTCAGGATACGATGATAAATTATTAAACGAGGCACGTAGCACAGTGTTTTAGGAAGCAATATCCCAGATAATTTCAAAAGAGAAGGATGATGTTCTCTCGGTATCGCGACCGACAAATTCAAGGATTTCTGCGATTGTCACTTGATCCTGGCTTTGTCTCATCCGTTCGGAGGGATTTTGAATGCACATGGAGACAATTTTCCTTTCGACGGCAAAGGAATTATTCTTGCTCATGCGTTTTTTCCTACCGGTTCCAGGAAAAGTGTGGATGTTCATTTTGATGCCGACGAAAGCTGGACTACTAGCGGGGACAGTCAGCAAGGTAATATCTATGTTATATTTATAGAAAACTCGTAAACTATTAATATATTCCAACAGTTGCAAACTAGCAAAAGTTTTCGAACAAAGTTATCCGGTGTGTGATGTCCTTTGCAAAAAAATTCAATTGAAAATTCCAAAGTAAACTGAGGCCCTCTCTCGGTCCTTTTTAATTAAATTCTAAAACTGTGTTTGAAACTCTTTGCCTATATGGGAAATTTGGTTTTTAAAATAAAATGTTTTTGATTATTTTGTGTGAGTTTTTCTTTGATTATAATAATTATTCAAGTGAATGTTTTACAGGTACAAACTTATTCAATGTTGCCGCCCACGAAATTGGACATTCTTTGGGTTTGTCGCATTCCAATGTGGAAGGTGCCTTGATGTATCCGTGGTATTCGGAAATGAAAGATGGATTTGACTACGAGTTGCCTGACGATGATAAGTTGGCAATACAATATCTTTATGGTAAAATTAGAGAGATTTTTGTTATTAAGAATAGGCCCTTGATTTGTAATACACTTTGATAACTCACTCTTTCCATAGGCCCAAGTTTTCTTTCTTGAAATATATATAATAACTTGATATTTATTCCCTAACCAATTTTATATTGAATCAAGAATCAATTGTAACACGATAAACTCTCAATCATTGAAGTGATCAGCAGACATCATTATGTAGATTATCAAATTTCATTTAAATTAGGTTCAAGAGACCTGAAACAATGGGGCAGAATTCCGCAATACCATCCGCAACAACCTCAAAGGCCATCCACCACCAGCACAACAACTACCACGACTACCACAACCACCAGGCCACCGGTTAGGGCTTACCCAAGGTATCCTTACGATCCTAGGTATCCTAACGGAAGGTATCCTTACAACAAGTAAGTAAATTTACTGTACAAATTACAATCAACAACACATTGAATCACAAACTGATGTATTATTGTTGTTTCAAGGCCTGAAACTCCATACAACAAGCCAATGAATCCGGAAAAGAAGCCCCATTATCACAAACCCAAGCACGAACACAATCCGCATCACAAACATCCATTTACTGGTAAGTTTTTCTGTAGGTATCAACAATCAATTGCTCTTACAACTATTTCTGTTTAGGTCGCCATTATCCATCCACATCCAGCACACCTCGTCCAGAAACCAAACCAACCAAACTGATTCCTAGAAAACATCACACCCCTCACAAAGAATACCCATCGGAAGAAGTACCACCAGATACCTGCGACACCACTTATGATGCTGTAGCTGTAATAAGACGCGAACTATTTATATTCAAAGACAAATGGTTTTGGAGGATTGGCGACAATGGAGTGGTAACTTCTGGATACCCAGCTGAAATAACCAGATTGTTTCGTGGGTTTCCTAGGAGTTTGAGTCATGTGGATGCCGTACTGGAACGAAGCGACGGCAACATAATGTTCTTTGTGGACGATCGGTATTATTTGTTTTCGGGAGTGAGCTTGATGCCGGGGTATCCGAAAACTTTGACGGAACTGGGACTGAGCAGTAGCGTGAGGAAAATCGACGGGGCTATGATTTGGGGGCACAACGGGAAGACTTACTTTTTTAGTGGAGATCAATATTGGAGGTAAGTGGAGTGGAATTTTTTTCTTGAAATCGTTGGATACTTATTTCGAGACTTACTCTAAGTGATTCGGAGCAGAACATGTTTCCACAATTCTTTTTATCCAGCAGTCTTCTTATAATGGTTGAGTATCTTCCGCCTATATATTGTTTTTCCTACTTGCTCTCTTAGTTTCCAAGGTAGATGCCATTTTCATACAAGATTGATTATTTTCATAAACCTTTGTAGGAAAAACATTGAAATTTAAAATATCTGAAAGTATTTGCCCAAAAAACAAAGAATCGCTTAAGTACTATACAAGAAGACAAAGCAATGTACTCCGATTTAGCACTAGATAACGCTACAACACTGTTTTAATATAAACATGAATCTTTCTTGGACCGCAGAAAACCAAGTTCTCTTAAAGTGTCATTAAACAAAGAATTCCAACATTTTGGTGATTGACGTTAACCATACAAGGCTTTTTATTATTTACAAACTAAATTTGAATTTTCACTTACATTAAGGCCTTCAGGCAATTGCATATAGACTGAACTTTTCAGCGTTCCATTCACATTCTCGGTTAAATCACTTTGTTTAAATCCGCGAGCTACTATAATCTTACTCTCTTTTTCACTTCACCATTGACAATTTCCTCACTAAACACTCACTTTGAGTATAATCTCCTTGTCATTTGGCTTTTCTACTAGTTACCATTTTTGACTTTCTTTTAAAGTTTTAAGCTCTTCTTCAACTGCATCTTTCCATCCTTGATCTGTCGTTATAGCTTGTAAATATGTTTGTGGCACATGTGATATAAAACTTGCCACTGACAAGGCAGCAAATAAATTAACATCATCATAGTTGAGATTTAAGACATAGTCATTGATATATCTGAGTAAAGGACGATTTCTTAAATATTTCCTCCTTTCTAATTTTTCTTCTACTGGTTTATTTTCGTCTTTGATTATTTCCTCATTCATTTCTTGTATTTTATTTGGTGTTTTCTCTGATTCTTTTATGTTCTTGTTCATTTTCGGTGTAAATATCTGGCTGATTCATTGTTTTATTTGTTCCTTCGAATATCAATATCACATTCATTCCATTTATTATCCTTTACTTAGTTTCATCCCGAAGTCCATATGCATTATCAGCATACCCTATGAAGGTGATAAATAATTCTTACCATCATAGGTTGGTGGATTTATGGGGCCACAAATATCAGTTGATACAATTTCCAAGATTCTTTTTGATTTTCTCCTTGTAAAATATTTCTATGTAAGGTAACCTAGTTTGCTTGGCCTTTATACATACTTCACACATTCCAGTGGCTGTAGATGTAAGTCCCATTTTTCTGTGCCATAGCATTTCATCATTATCATCAATGACAGCACTGGCACTTTGCAAATCAGTATTTAAAGAAAAAGCGACTACCTATGTATACATTTTCTTCCAGATTGCCTCCAAAAACTAATCTATTATTCTTCAAAACCAACACCTTCTTATATTCAAAAATGACTTTAAAGCCACTTTCTTCAAAGATTTCGTACAGACAATTAATTGTATGATAAATTTTCAAAAACCCATACATTTCTTAATTTCTACAGGTTTAACAGACTTTAATTCAACGCAACTTTGAACTCACCTTCAATTGATGTTTTTAACAATTCACCCTATTTAGCCACATTTATGCTATGTCCAGCTTTTCGTCCATTATTTTGTTCATTTTAGTTGCACCACTGTCCATCACAAATTCGCTGATTTTTTACTTTCATCATCGCAAGACGTTGAAAAGGATATTGAGCTTTCACCATTTCCATTATCCAGATTACTTTGTATACCTCCACGAACATTATAATTTCCTCTACGAGCACCTCTATATATCCTCCTCGTCTATTTTGATTCTCTGGCAAATGAAAACACTGATCTTTTATGTCCAGTTTTTCCACAATGATGACATTAAAATGGAAAATTACGATTTCTCTCGTATTTTTAGCACCTCTAGTTCCAGTTTCACTGTAATTTCCTTTTCCTTTCCTATTCCTCTTGCAGATCTCTAATTATTATTACCATCTCTTTTGTAGCCATATTTGTAACCAGGTTTGTTACTCACATATGCCAAATTTGGATCATTTTCTGATTGTGTTTTATTTTGTCTAGCTTCTTCCATTAATAATTTATTTCTTACAAACTCCAAATTTACTGCTGCTTACTTTTGGCAAAACATTATATCTATAGCTGTTGTTACAGTTTGATAGGATTCTGACATTGATGATAATATTTTTAAAATCACCTCATTTTCATCTATCTGTCCACCAGCTGACTTTAATCAGAATTCAGAAATGGTTTGGTCAAATTCTGTAAAAAAATGTCTCGAAGGATTTTCAAGCTTCGTATTTTTTTTTTTTTGTAAAATTACTTGCATGAAATTCCTTTCTCCATGTATGCATTGCTTAAACATTCTACTATTTCCTTGGCCTTATTTTAAGTATTAAGCATTTCTAGAATGTTGCCTGAGAAACACTGGATTATAATATTTTCATATTCAGTCACATTTGTTGACTCGAGAGAATTTTCAGTTAACACATGTTTCACACCTTGTTGTTTCAACAATAATTCAATTCTAAAATCCCAATCCCAGTTTGGATATGCTGTTCCGTCAAAGGGTTCTACATAAAATAATTTGTCTGCCGGTCTGCCATCTTTTCTTTTGCGCTATTTTAATTTTCCTTACCGTGAGCTGCCCCTATCTCTTCCTCACCTAACTTTCCTTTATCAAGTTTTCCCCCAATTCCAGCGTAATTCCAGTTAGACAATCTCTGGGGTATCTGGGCCCATAACCTCTTGATATTCCGGTAAGTAATAACTATTCACTTTAGTGATTGAATAACTTTTAATTAATTAGAATGCAGAGACACGATACAAAAAGTCCATGATAATTTGACAACTTCCTTGACACATATCTTTCACATAGTGCTGGTACCTGGTAGTTCTTTGAGAACTCTGAACAGAATTGGAGTATTTTACAACAAAAATGAGGATGTTCAACTTATACCTACAGACTTATTCAAGCACCAAGTAAAATTGCGTTGAAAGCTCCTTCAACTTTCACCGTCTTCCACTCTGTTTCCTTCATCCAAATATCTCCGTCAGATATATCAACTCTATATCTAGAGTTGCCTTAACATCATAGATCAATTCCGATACCTTCTTTTTCTCTCAGTGCATTTTGGTCACATTTGAATCTGAAATTTTTATTTTTTCAATTTTCCTCAATAATATTAATTTTACCAAGGCAAAATTAACCAAAAGGTCATGTTCAGATGATATGATATTGTTGTATCTAGGATAATACGGCATCTCCCTTCGATTAATTAAACCGAATCATCTTCCAAAAAAGGTTCATGGGCTTCAGGAAAATCATTGATCACTTTACATTTAAATATAATTCCGTTGCAAGTTGAACAAATTATTGAATTATTAATTTGTACGTACCTACAAGGAACCCAAACCCATGGAAGGTCAATGTCAACGACAGTTTACTGGTAATTATTGTAATTAGCGATCACGCGCCATGTTCGCTAATTACAATAATTACCAGTGAACTGTCGTTGACATTGACCTTCCATGAGTGTAACATACCCAAGTTCGTTCAGTAACATTGAACGGTGAGAATTTTTATCACCTTTAAACAATAAATCTTCTGAAAAACGAAATGAAAAACCAATAGGACCTACGTTGTGGAGACTTACTCAATTTTACTTACTGGACATGCGCCCGACATAGCAAATATTAGGGAAATTTAAGGGAAGTTGTGATATGTAAAAGAAACGAAAAATTTGTGAAACGTCTACTTTATTATTAAAGTAAATCGTACCGTTCTCATCCTGGAATTAACGAGGGGAAAGAGCACGGCAGAGAAACTTTCGATCTACATTCCTCAAAAATCGAAACATACTGTGTAATTTTAATAATAATGGTGAGTCATTAATTCAATAATTTAGGTCAATAAAAGTTTAAATTAGGTACCGCCCCTGTTCTTCTGCTAAAATTTCAATTACACACAGTACATACAATTAACACTACATATATTTAATACTGAAGAGTTTTTGGTTAGTTAGCCCATCTGTGGTAGGTACTGAGGTCCCTGGCTATAGTTGTTTTTGAACCAATGGGTGGTATGAATAAAAACGAAGTACTTGCTACTGCTAGAAGTATTAGTATGTTCTACGTAGTATTTACTTCAAAACGAAGTAGATACTACATTTCGAAACTACTGAAATGTAGTATCTACTTCGTTTTGAAGTAAATACTACGTAGAACATACTAATACTTGTGGTAGTAGCAAGTACTTCGTTTTTATTCATACCACCCAATATCTTTAGATTGATTATTCCAATTTGTTGGGATATTCTCTCGTCAGGGTAAGAAAATGTTAGTAAATTCAACAAGGCTCTAATGTACGTTCGGAATACACAAAATCAAAACCTCAGCACATAAAGACAGCACATAATTTCTTAGGATTTAATTTACTTCTTTATCTGTATTGTTTACAGCAGGAAACGATTTTTGTTAAATACATATGAACAATGCACATGTTATAAACAAACAAAAAACTTGTATAAATAATTGAACTCTCAAAAACAAAATAACAATTATTCAATTGACCTGTGATTGCTCCTTGACACACACTAATAACAAATTTGATTGAACAATCATGATATAACAATAATGCAAAATAAAAATAAAAATTGAATAATGAATAATCACAGACACGCGTCTAAAGGGACCAGCCCAGCAGCTTCTCTAGACTAATGCCTAATCGCTTCTCCTCTACCTCCCGTTCGGTTCGGTTTACTTTCGTTTTCTGTGTCGCAGTACATGGTTGCAATATTTACTTTTATTCATTAAACGTTTTTTTAAAAAGTTAAGATTAAAAGAAATAATACTTTAAATAGGTGGTTTTCCTCAGGTTCAGGTTCCTTGTACGTTCGAATTTATAATTCAATAATTCGTTCAGCTTG